TGATGAAGAAATAAAGAAACTAATATTTGGTTTCATTTTCTACTGAAGTGAAAAAAAAAAAAAAAACGTAGGACCTCAGTTTAGTTGATTAGTTTGTTGTCCCCCAACCCAGCCGGTCGAGGCAGATGGCCGCCTGTCCTGAGCCTGGTTCTGCTGGAGGTTTCTTCCTGATTAGCAGGGAGTTTTTCCTCCACCGTTTGCTCAGGATGGGAGACTGTGATGAAGTGATTCAACACAATCTGCTGGTTTCTTCTTTAGATAATTCTTTTTTTTTTTTCATTTACAGTGAACTGAGACAATTGTGACTTGGTGCTATATAAACAAACTGAATTGAATTGAATTGATAAAATAATATATTTGATGCATGGCTGTAATATTTTCTAGTTCTTACATCTATTTTTATTTTACAGCTCTTCTCTGTAAAATAAAAATAGGATTTGTAATTGTTTCACAAACCCTATTCATTATTTCTTCTTTGTCAGTTCCATCAAGAAAAATACAGTTGGTACAACCCATATCTGTATGATACACATTTTTATCTACTTTTGGTAGTTGTGAACYTTGGGCCAACATTCACAAAATAAAGATTAAATCCATTTGCAATTTCATTTGATTGTGGATTTTTTAAACATCCTTTGCAAAATACTGTGAAATACCTGATTTTATTTCATAATTTTAAGTTTCACATCAGATGTTGGTGAATATTGGTGAGCCTCAGATGTGATGGGAACTTCTGACCATTTATGGCTTTGGCGTGCGGGTGTAAGAGACATAATTAGGCTATGTCTGATGTATTTCATACCTTTACGTTCTTTAGAACAGGGGTTCTTAAMCTTTTGGACCTCGGGGCCCAACTTGTTGAACATAAAGTGGCACGAGGCCCAGTCAGATATTACCAATGTACAGATCAAAATAATAATTATTCTAACACTTGGTTTAATGTGTATTGTATTTGCAATATAACTAGATTAAATACACTTACAGTATAAAAGTAAAACTCCTGTCATCCTGATGCATCTCAGTAATCCAGGTAAAAAATCAAAAAGAAAAAAAATTGTATAGGTCTTCTRGACGGGTTCTTCTCTAATGAAAYGTTTCGTCTCTCCTCCAAGAGACTTCTTCAGTCTGAGAGTTTCAGGCAAAATTCAGGCTTTTAAGCCCTGCTTCCATGTGACTGATACTCACATCACATGCTATCGTTGACACCTAATTAACACCTATTGTTAACAGGGGGTGGAGTGATACTTGCAATAGCCGCCAGAGAGGAGTAAAAGAAGCCATTTGTGTAAAGAAAGACAGTCCATCGTTAAACAGAGGTGGAGGCCTCCGTTTTCAGTTGTCCCCCTCCTACAGTGCAGCTATTGCCAGTATCACTCCACCTCCTGTCAACAATAGGTGTTAATTAGGTGTCAACGATAGCCATGTGATGTGAGTATCAGTCACATGGAGGCAGG